ACAAAATATCTTGTATATCATTTATGAAATATTAATATAATTAAAAGTTTATTATAATTAAAAGTATTAAATGAAGTGAAAATAGAAATATAATTAACATATAATTTCAAAAAATGTAAAAATGTGATGTAATATAGATAATAAAATACGATAATTTAATTTGAACACACAAAATATTTAGATAGTAAAAAATAGAAATGTGAATTTAAGAAATTTATTCTATTTTTATAATTGAACTAATTGTACAGGATGATATATAAAATTCCGAAATGACTACGCGTTCTTTTACAAATTCAATTGAAACTGTTCGATTTCCATATAGCTCGGAATAGCGCGTTTACGATAAGCAATCAGCGTTCATTCGAATTTAATCATGCATGGTTCTTATCATCATGCGTACGTTGATTTTGTCATTCGCCATGGTATCATGCATTATTATACGAGTAATAAAGAATCGTTTATTAACTATCGCTGTTGACGACATCGCTCGGAAACTAAATCGCTGCCGCGATTGAATCGATCTAGAAAGTGAATAGAATAATATCGTTATTGCCGCGTTTAAAGCCATGTGTGGAATTCGTTCATGCTGTTGCGGAACATATTTTACTACAGAGGAAATTTAATAACAAAATGTCCGCGAAGCAACAAATTAAAAAGTGAGATGACTGAGTCGTATTATAATTGCGCAGTCAGTCGCATATCACAGAATCGGAATGGATTTTTTTCTTCTGCTACCGTCTTATTATTTCAGAAATAGTATTTCTCTCTTGCCTTCTGTATTGCAATGAGACTACCATTTTCAATTTTGACGCAACAATACTGAGCGATATCGTTATGCATAAAGAAAAAAATCAATAACGAGAAAAAATATAAAAAGAATGAGCGACTAAATTTTTGCCAAGAAATATACTGAAAAAAATTTACTAAACTTTAATACATTTTTTTAACACTAATAAATAAATAAATATTTATTCAAAATAGAAGATAGTTAAATCAAATTAATGATTCTTGTATTAGAAAATATATGTTTACATTTAGTAAATATATGTAGAAAACTATTCAAATATATATTTTTTAATTTAGTTTCTTTTTAGTTCATTTCTCTTGATGATTACTTTTTTCCAAAAATTAGTAAAAAGATATTTTTTTCTGGTTAAATAATTGTATGATATTTGTACATAAAATTGATTCGTTTTATTCCTAATGGTGAACAAACACTTTTTGATAAAGTGAAACCACTTCGTTTAGTTATGGAAATTAGAGCACATAACGCAAGGACGAGGAGGGGTAGAAAAAACCGGCTGGAATCGCAAGACTGAACGATCAACACAAGTAAGGTTTCTGGATCGAAACTCGATTATCGCGTTATTAGATTCACCGCGGTTACGACGGCACTACCGGGAACAATTATCGGAAACGTGTTTTCAAGAAAAATAATTTTTACATCGAGGACTAACGACGTTAACCGCGAGATACACTTAGCATACCCTTGCGTTGCCGCGTGGCTTTTCTTTTTAGATATGATTTGATTTATATCGCCCACCTCGTTCGACGTACAGTTACGCTAAGTATCGGGGACGATAAATTCGACGAAATTGCGTAGATTTATGGCTCGCGGCTTCTCCCAGATAGTAAAGCGATGGCGCCAGAGTCGTCTAATCCGCATTAATGGCAACTGGGGAAAATTAAACGCGAACTTTAAGCGTTCTCAGAACGTTAACTCTGTGCAGTGCGTCTTTCTGTTTTCTATTTGCCTTCAATGTTATGCGTATGGAATTATAACGTGGAAACGATCCATTTAGTGGATATTACGAGCAGAGAAATGACTTGGGAAACTATAACTTGAAAATGGAGATTTATTTCGTTTTTTGATTATTACGTAAATTAACAAGAGCTGTGCTTTTAAAATTTTGGTCATAATGCAAATTAACAGGAGGAGTGCTTTTAAAATTTCGGTCATAACATAAATTAAAAAGAGTACTTTATAAAGTACTATTCTCATGTACAATATTCATGTATGTGTGTGCGTATGCATATATGGATATAATTTGTTAAAAAGAGACGGATTTAAAAAATAAGACCGTATTCAACAAATTTGTAATAGACGCTTTGTACAGAATAATAACGAAACAGTGCGATTTTCGTATATAATTATGTGTGATATAAAAATTCGTATTTGATACGCCGTCGAAGAGAAATAACGTTCTACGACAGAGTATAAACGCATCGTCTTTCACAGGCGAAAATAAATACATAGGTATGGAATATCAGCCCATCAATTGCGCGAACGACGTATTCAATTATCTATCTATATTACAAGGTACTATTCAAAGCGAGTTGTAGTTATATCGCAATAAAATGCTGATTGAATAAACGCCAAAAAGCAAGAGAAAAAAGTGCTGCAAAATTCGTAGACATAAAGAGAATAAAAATAAAATAAAATGAGAACTTCAACTATAGCTTAAGTTTCTAAATATTATTCTGTTTGGAAAACATACTATGTTGCACAAATCTGCTCGATATTGTTTATAGTCTGAAAATAAAAAATAACGATCTAGTTAAGTTGCTAGCTTTTATCTTAAACGTCAAGTTTCTAAGATAATTAAGGTTTAATGTTCAAAACATGGCTACAATGTTTAATATTTTTTTTAATTGTTTTTCTTTCCAAAAATCTGCAATACCTTATCTAATTCAAAGTAATTGAAAAAACATTTTTGTAAACTAGTGTTATAGACATTGTACGATTCTACATCATTGAGCTAAAAATCGTTACACCTTTGATAGTTCTAATCTTCCACTTCTTATATCTTATTCTTATATAGATATGCTACTAATTCTGCAGAACGAGAAAGCTATCTCTATCCCATGTACATTATTCCTGGATCGCGAGTTGAATAGTTTGTTAGCCAAGAACACGCTACCTTCTCTCCATATTCTGGAGGGACCATTGTTTCATCTTTCGTCTTTAACCATTCCTACGATCTCTCATCTCCTTTTACTTGGCGTTTAACAATGAACTTCCCGCTCCTTGAAAGATACTTGAAAAGATATGGACCACCTACGATGGTCTCGAAACAATATTCGCATTGCTCAACTAAAATATGATAAGTATAGGTAAATCGACGATCGTTTAACCAACGAACACTTGCCGCGTTTATCGCGATAAGAGCATAATGTTTTGACAAAATTTCTGGGAATTTTGCTTTCAAAAATATACGAGCGAATTACCATCTTTTTAATAGACATTGTTTTTCTTATCTTTGTGACAGTCTTTTCTTACCCTTATAGTTTATCTAGCGATATGAGATCAGGAAAGTCACGTTGTACATTTATAACAGAGAGGAGCTATTCTCCTAACCTAAAACAAAATATAGAAGATAGGTGGCGAACACAAACATGGTACTTTAATAAAATATTTAAAATTTTTCTACACGGAAAGAATACAGGATTGTCACAAATTCTTTATCCTGTAAAATTCTAACTTTTCCTTGATGCTTTCAATAATATTTTGAATTTTTATTGTTTTTTTAATTTTTAAATCATCAAAAATTTTGTTGAAAAAGCAGCTTAACATAGCAATGTAAATTACTATTAATATTGCTAAATACTGATACAGCTTGTATTCAATTGTTAAGTTGGTAATATTCCAAAATTACGTAGAAATGTGATATACGCGACGCATATTAAACTTCTTTAAAGCCAAAAATTTTAATTTTTCAGAAATAATTTTAACAAAATTCTTTTTTCCTGGTTTCTAATTTTGTGGCAATCCTAGAATGATTCTACCGAAGTATTTAAAAATTTTACTAGATACAAATCTGAAAATAATTTTATTGGGCTGTTAAAATTATTATGTAGGATATATTTAAGCATAATGAAGAATGTTCTAAAAAATTTCAATATTCGACATGAGGAAAAAGTCTGGTTGCATTAATTAAAATTCTAATTGGAAATAGACAAATAAAAATTTTCTATTTAAATCTCTCTCTTTTGCTCTCCCTATTCTAATTCTAATAATCAAAATTTTGATTAATATAATCAAAATTGTTTGATTTTTCTATTTTTAAGCAAAAATTGTTCTCAATGTAATAGCAATCAGTTTGAGCATCCTACATAATTATTTTCTCTAACAAAGTTTTTCAGATCTGTAGTTAAATTTTCAAATACTTTAATAAAGCCATTCTTTCTATATATGTCTTTCTCTTTTATTTTCTATTTCATTTATTTCCAATTCTATCTTAGCAAAATATTTAAAAATATTAAACAATACAATTCCTACTATTCTATTCAATTGCTGATAAAATTACAATCTTGAATGAAAACTTTAAACATATTTTTTCCAGAACAGATTTTACAATATACTTGTTAGTACTTTTTCGATAGTTATCGTTACAACTATTGTCATGTATTTGAATAAGTTTCATACTTGAGTTGAATTTTGCTTAACTTAAAATTCCATGAAGATGAAATCTCACGAATATTTCAAGACAGGTATTTAGTCCCAAAACCGCTGCAGTAATAGAGTTGTTCGTAATCAGGAACGTTTCTCTACTGGGATTTGTGTAGACACGCATGGCAAAGCATATATTGACATTGCCATATTTTCCATTAAATGATGGTAAAGATAGTAGGTCAAGTAGAACAATGGAACGAGAAATATCGCAGGATTACATAATAAAAAGGAATGCATGTGAGCACGTTCTATATTGATGTGTGTAATTTCATTTACTGTCTAATTTAATGCTTAATGTGAGATGTCAAGCACTATTATGTAATGCAAGAATTTAGATCTCCAGACGAGATCTGAATATTTACATTCATACTCATATAAAAGCATATTATGATTCTGGTCTTATTATGTTGAGTGCCTAGATTGTTTCAGCTATAAAGCCGCGTGTATCTGATTCCCATTCTGATCTTATTTACGATTTACATATAATTAGCTCTCGATTTATAAACATACAGTCAGTTATTATAATTGTATGATTACTTTGTTTTAGATGCAGCCCAAGGTGACTACTTTGTGCACGCTACTGGCATTCGTCGTTGTCGTCGCAATTTCGAGTCTCACAGCCGATGCAATACCGCATAGGTAATGTAACTCTTCCTATCTTGGATGATAAATCAAAGAGAAAACACGAGAAACAAGAATTATTAGAATATTATAAAAATTAACAAATCCCGAGTCTTATAAATAAAACACCCATGAATTTTATCTCTTTCCAAAGACTTATATCGAATTATTATGTATATTTTCTCTTTTCAAAGATGTATATTGTAAACTTTAACGTTATCGATGGAAAAGGACGAACGCTATCAGTAAATGTTTTAGCTACGTACCTATAACTAATCAAGTTGTATTCAACAATAAGTAGGCGTCTGAAATTAATATTTAGATATACTCAACTAGAATCAATGCAAATCGAAATTGTCCCGAGTGCTTATTTACAATTAAATGAATATATTGACCGAGAAGCAGAAGTGCATCTGCTCGAACAGTTTAACCTAGTTGCTATTTGACACGACATGCCAGACGATTGAAAGGAATCCTGGTAACTGAAATGATTCATCGAACGATGTTTTAGACAATCATGAAGGATAATTCCGAGTTGCAGGCACGTCTATTAACGCTGTCCCTTATTATATTTGCCACCATATTTTTACTTCTTCCGTATCATTCAATTCGGTTTCCAGAGTCTCTTTCTCGTCTTTTTCTCGTGAAAAAAAAATAGATTTTACAGAGGTCGTAAATTTTGGCGATTTTTATCAATTTTCTTATCTCGCGTAATTTGATGTTTATTATTGTGTACATATTTCTCGATTAATCAATGAATTCTTATTGTACACTACGCACGCAGCCATGAAAGTTATTGGGATCAGCAGGATGACATAGACCGAGACGAATTTCTAGAGATACTCTCTCGTCTTAGTCGTACTGTCATGCGCCCTGAGATGGAAAAGTAAGATAATGTTACAATGATATCTTAACGTATGCATAATTCATGTTACTGTATCTGTCTAAACTTGAAACATAAAACGTTTTTCAGACATCATATCTTATTAAGTCCTGATTTTAGGTGAACATGCTGTCAGGTTCATACATGTGGGATATTAATTTTGTTAATATTGAGTTAAAACGAAAATTCATAATACTACAATCTTCAAAATTCAAATGACCGTAACTTAAAATCCTTAAAAATAAACAAAATTTAATTATCAAAAATAGTTTTAAAGCTTAAAAAGGTCTCTATTTATGAAACATCTCTATGGCTGCATTTAACAGACTTAACAGTTGAGTGAGCGCTCACTATTACGAGTATTAGTGTATTCTACTAGATCAACCAATCAGACTTTTAAATCTAGAAAAATACATCAATAGCAGCGAGTGTGTTGAATCTGCTGAATGAAATCTATATCTTTTGAGTTTCTATTAGTTCGGTCATTTTAACATATAGAAAACTATAAGCTGATCACACACACAAAATAGGAAATTTTCTTTTCACTTTGTGGGCTTATCACATGTCCAAAAAAAGATTTACGAAAATTTTCGATTTTCTAAAACATGAATTTTTCTAATTTTCTCGACAAAATTGTTTTAAAAAATGTTTCTAAGATTTATTATTATTTTTCGTTACTGCTATCGCAAATTTAATAAAAGAAGCTTTTTTCGACTTTGATTGCTTATAACTCCATTAAAAATTATCGTACCGTAGTTCAAGAAACAAATTTTTAAAGCTGAAACTTCTCTATCAAATGATATAATTATTAAATTTTTTTAAACACACAGACGTATATTATAAATATAAAATAATACTACAAATTTTTATTTTACCCACACACACAAAACTCAATATACATATATATATATATATATATATATGTGTGTATATATATTTTTCATAAAATTATGCGTATACTGTGTTTACTACCTTAGTCGTAATATTTCAGCTAATTGATTTTCAAGAAAAAACTTATTAAAATTTCACTAAGATTTATTTAATAAGAGTTGGATCTCAAATTAAACTGTGGTGCAATAGAAAGCATTTCAATATAGGGAATTTGAGAAATTTACCCGCAAATACTCTATATTCAGAATATCATTTTTCCTTTAATACTTCTTCCGTACCGTAATGTCTCTTTTATTTGCCTTTAATTCCATTGGATATAAATGGAACCGCTCATTTTAGGAAGGGCTTTATTTAAAAACTGTCGATAATGGATTTTCACTGTACGTGTCCTTTTTTTACATCGGCACACATCCGTATATAGATGATACTTCGTTTCAATCAATTGCCATATAAGAGCAGCGTGATAGAATCAGAGATGTCTGGCTCTTATCCACATATATAGTCACGTCAAGATATGCTACTCGAATGCTTTTTGCGATTCTTAAGTTTTGCAAACTCATGTTATAGTCCGAGCAAGGCCCTTTCTAAGATGTTCGATTCAAATAAAAGTGTAATAAACACATCAATTCATTCGGTACGTTCGTAGCACCAAACGAGGATTGGATCTGGGTCTTAGTCGTGGCTTCAGCGGTTCTCAGGCGGCGAAACACTTGATGGGACTCGCGGCAGCGAACTACGCCGGCGGTCCCGGACGAAGGCGTCGCTCGGAACAAGCGTAGATCGCACACACGATCGCTGATGCAGAGAGATTACTATACAACTCTTAATAACGTCATTCCCGACTCGATCCTTCCACTTTATCTCTACCTCGAGCTTGAACCACTGATCTCAGAATCGTCCGTTGCCAGTGGCGTAACTAAATGCACTCGAGCCATTACTTCTCTTCTCTTAAATAAATCTGTAGAGTGTGTGTATAGACATATACATCTTCTTCAAAGCGCAAAAATAGCATAAGTTCCTTAATTAAAAATTATAGATACGATTATATGTAGATAATACTATAGTTAATCGATGTTGATAAATTCGATCAATTTTACATTCCTCCATTTAATCCTCGCACACTTACAGCTTTAGCACATTCCTTGTAGTTGCACCACTGGCAGTTTGCAACTGCATTGTCAAATTGCTCTTTATTTATTTTGTTTTTGTAGAAGCGGATGCAATATAATTCCTTCGAGCGGAAATACTTTTATTTAAAATGAAGTAAATATAAATACCTATATGTTCATAATGGACACGAATAGCACTTTAAATAGTTCTATCATTTGTGTTCTATATCAATTCGATAGAACATAATTCAATCTTCATTAAGAATTGATTAATAATAAATAACAAGGCCTTTTTAAAAATGTATAGACTATTTCAGATCAGACTTAAAGTTTCCGTTTATTCGTGGATTTTTATATATTAACATCTAGATCTTAATAGTTTTATAATCTAATTTTATAAGATGTATTGTTCGATTTGTTTTTGCGATTAAATATTCCTTTCCTCCTTTCAACTAATAAAGAACAAACTTGCAAGTACCATAAAAATATTCTCGCCAGATATCGCTGTTGCATTTTATTCCTTCGCTATATTTATTAATTGTTATGCATGAACCGCGTATGGATTAGAAACTTTATTCCTGCCGCAAAATAAACGAAGTGGATAGACGTAACATTTCGCTGATTCAACAAGAGGGCTCCTTCGAGTCGCGCCTCCGCAAATCGATGACGCTCCACTTCCGGGCTGCATTTATTCTAGTCATTACTATCTGCAATTGAAATCGTATACCGCAACGAGTTCCTCCCTCGAATAAGTATTGCGTGCGAGAGAGAATTTTCCCTTAATCCTTTACGCGCGTGGAATAATTTTTCTCCCTTAGTTTCTGAATGCCCTCTTCGTTAAACTTCATACCAAACGACGTATTATACGATCCCTCGCACACTCTCTTTTGTCTCTCGGTCTCCTCCCTTTTCCAGTATTGTAGTGTCTCTCTTGTAAAAAAAAAAATGAAAATTCATCGTACTTACTATAATAATCATAATCGATGTTGCGTTCGTTAGGTCAGGCGTTCTCAAACTTCGTTTGCGCCGACGACAAAGTAAATACGCATTGTGTGCAAATTCCTTATCAGCAAATCTGTTTTCATCGATCAGCTAGAATTAGTAAGAAATTCCGTGGTGACTTCGGACGATCGTATTTTTTTTATTTTTTACGTATCGAGCGTTTTCGGTGTGTCGCGCAAAACGATTTGAGGACCCTGCTACTTAAGTCACTTTGTTTTACTAACTTCGACGTCTATCTACATCTTATGTAACACGCAACGTGCACCGAATGCACATGCGCTTGCATAAAATATAAACATATAAAAATGCGACATAGAGGTAGTAAAACTTCGTCCCTCTTTCGTGTTATAGACTTAGAATTAGTCCGTAGGTCAGGGATGCGCAAAAAAATGTCGGATTTGAATTTGAAATAAAAAAATTTGATTTGAAATAAAAATTTGATTTGAAATAAAGAAAGGAAGAAAGCAGCTCGATGCACTTTTCGATATTTCGACATATTACTCCATCTATTACAAATCGTGTCAAGAAAACAAATGTCGTTGTGACAAATGTCGTTATGACTTTCCGAATTCGATTATACGTAATCTGGCTGAAGTGAATCAATCATAAATTACTTGAGATATTAAAATTCTTTTCAATCAAAAATGATATATCGATCAATATCAATCAAAGCTGATTCAACATCGATCGACCGATCATTTCTGACTGGATTAATTTTTGTAACGAACATTTTTCAATAATACATTAACAGATTTTTGCAATTCCATAACGTTACGAACGATTAAATTCTAACGAAATTTAAATTTTTATTTAAACTTCGAATGCTATCTATTCTGACATTTGGCTTGTGCATGCCTGTCAACAGGTGGTAACCAAAGCGCACTGTAAGTATCGATAACGATTCCGTTCATCGCATTCAATAACAACACATAATATAATTGAGAAGATTTGGAGTCAGATAAATTACACGAGATTGTCAGATTGTACTTCTTTAATAATATAAAATTATCCGTATATATTGTCTTAAAAACAGAACAATGTTCAATATAAAAATAATTATGATGACTTTAAGATTTAAATTACTTTTCGATTAAAAAAGTATTAACTATATGTGATTAAAATAATCTACACGATAATGTTAATTAAGAGACTATTAATTAATAACTACAAAAATGGATCCTAATATCATTATAAACGTATGATAACGTTTGTTGTATTTTTAAAATTATTTCGCAACATAACTCTTGTTGCTCCAATACGTGACATATGATATCGTTTGTTTTGATCGACGTATATGGATCGCGTTTCGCGAATAAATTACCTATCATTTCAGAAATAAATGTGTGCCCACGGACGAAGCGATTTATTCGCTTAATCGCGAAATCCTGTTTGGTTATCACCGAAATTCAAAACGAAGCGCGTGAAGTCGACCTGCGTTATTTCTGTGTATTATAAAAAAAAATTTATTGCGCCTCTAGTAAAAACTGATCGTAAATAAAAGTTACTTTAACCCAGCCATGCGCGCATATTTATTCTGATAACATATTCCGTATTTTCTTTATGTCCGATGCTAAATATAGCCTGCTTTTTTTCTTTATCACTAAATTTTAGAGTAGGGGACTCTCACGATACAAAGTAAAAAACACATGATACGAAGAAGTCATACATTTCTCCAGTATTTATATAATTACGGCAGTGAAATAGTAACTTTTTAGTACAGTAAACATCAACGTTTGACTGTTTCTCGTTAAAAATTATAAAAAATATAAAATCATTCGAGAATATTTTGAGTACTTTTAACAGAGCGTATTAAAAGTTTTTTTTTTACTATCTGGTCTGAAAAATGGCAATATTAATTTTCAAGCTCAAAATTGCTAAGCAATAAAAAGTAACAGAGAGGTCAAATATGAGTAAATAATTAGATCGTAAAATAAAAACTAGTTTATTAAAAAATCTAATTCCAAGAATATTAATATTAGTTTTTCGACAAATAGACAATGTAGATTTCGACCTGACTCAAAAATAGTTTAACAAAATAAAAACAAATATATATTATTATTGTGAAATTACGTATTTATAATAACATTCATCATTTTCAAAGAATACTTCAATAATAAATTTTAAAACATGCAGTTATCTGTATTTCATTGCCCAAAGTTATTTGTCGAATTTTTATCAACACCTTATTATCAATAAGAGATAAAGGTCACACTAACAGACCACACTAAAGCCATTAACGATATCGTTGATCAACTTCAGACAGTTCAGACGTCGCAAAGTCATCGAACGTTTCATTTTATAACGAAAAGAAAATAATGTATCGCCGTATAATCGAGAGGCAACTGGTGCGCAACTGAAAGCCAGATGCGCATTCATGGGATTTACGTAAGTATGACATACGAATACACGCGCACATATATATATATGTGTAAACCTTCACGGTCGATCTTATAGCTATGTATATACAACGTGAGGATGAGCGTGCTGCGAAGAAGAGAACGTGAAGAGGACGCGTGTCGGCTCTCCACCCGTGAACGATTCTGTGGTTCGGAGCGATAATAACAGAGTGTGTGTTATCGGATTCGCGTCCGCGAGTCCGACTAACTGCCGCACGTTTCGGATTGCAAGCCACGAGTACGTGCAATTTCGTTCACGCACGTCACGCGTCTCCCTCCGCGCGCTCCAAACGTGAAGAGGATATCGCACGACGTGCTGCAGCGGTCGCAGTGCCGTATCGAACACGATAGTTTTTAGTGCTGACGCAGTCGAACGACGTTCCACACGTTGTGTGTAAACAGAGGTAAACTTGCCATGACATGACAGATAATAGAGAAGTCTGCGATAAGCTGCACATAGCACACTGGTATTCTTTATCTGATAGAAAAACAAGCGTTTTTCTAATATACACAGTTCAGAGAAACGTAATTGAATTCAGTGAATCATTTATTTACAAAGCCGGATAAGCTCATGGTCTTTTACGGAAATAAGTAAAGCTATCTATGGCTTAAGACTTTTTCTTTAATTTAAAATCGTGGGAGTCTTATTTTTTAAGTATTTGTCATACAATGTGGGAAAAGAATTTTCCAACTGCGTTTTTAAGAAATATATAATTCAGATCAGTCTCAAAAAATAGATATCGAACTTTAAAAATGTAAAAAGATCATCGCGTTCTTATTTTTTTAATTTATCGTTATTGTTAGATCTGCGTAATCTAGATATCTGTTTTGCTAAAATAACGATTTACAAACTGAACGGAATTCTAATGTTGAGATAAACAAAGCAACTGGTTCTCAATCGTGTAAAGTAACTTTATGTGTGTACTAACTTATTTTACACAAGAGCCGGGTGCTAAATGACTATAGGTTGTGCCGGACTCATTACGCTAGCCACTAACGAGCTCTCGTTTACCATCTAGTGCGATCGAAGAAGTTACTTGGGATTCCTACGGGAAACGTGTAATTGGGCCAAATGGATCGGGCTAGAGGACGAACCTCGACGGGTAATTGTCGTATCAGAAAGCTTGGCGTTTGCGTGAGCGTGGTTATACTCGGAACCTTCATCGCTTGCATACTGTTAGCGTACACAGCGTTTGCATCTCCGGTTACCGAACGTGACACGTTACAGCAGGTGGTTTTTGTGAGTAGCTCGCTTGTAACATTTGGCCGGTCACATCTGTGTCACTCCACACTTCCATTAACGCGTTAATTAAATTTTAATATTTACGTTTAACGAAGTTTGAATATATTAACTTCATAATTTTATGAGATATATATATATATATATATATAATATTTAATCATATTATTTTAATATAATAAATAGTATGCAATAAAAAGATGTTTGCTAAAATATGTCCGATATACTGAAAAAATCTGGTAATAATAATAAAATCTACACGATAATTACTAAAATGTCTCTCTTTGATAAAATAACTTCAATTAAATGTTCGGTTAATATATAATCAAAACTAAACGCTAATTTTATTTTTCTAAACATTATTTTATTTATTATTACTTCTGTAATTAATTAATATTGTTTAATTGATAATAATAGTATTAATTAAATATAATAATAATAATAATACTAATAAATATAATAAACTTAATAATAATAACTTATTATAAGTAAATATTTTATCAATGTATGTGCTAAACAAGATACATTTAATAGCTATTACTAGACTTCTTTTTTAGTATATTAAAAATATCTGTAATGTTGCTTCAATTTTTTAAAGTAGCGACAAATGGCATTTAAATGAATCTTGCTTCAGAAATTAATCAAAGAATTCATTAGAAATGAGAAAAAGCATGGTAAACTTGTATATTAATGAATAGTATTTTCTCTCAGAAATCGTCATTATTTTTTGACAGTTGTTTCGTCATGGCGACCGAACTCCTACAGAGACCTACCCTAAGGACCCTTACATAAATTATGATTGGCCCGATGGCTGGGGCTCTTTGACTAAGGTTCGAATAAAATACATACAGATACCGATGAATCAATATTACCGTATATAATACGATAATATATGTCCACACAGACTTGCTATAAATAAAATCACATTTTTACATGCATCACATGTAAAACACGTGATCAAGCATAAGTAATGGTACACAACGCGCCCGTTATCAATCTCGAAATCCACTTTCAGAAAGGAATGCGTCAACTGTATAATATGGGTCAGTGGATACGCTTAAAATACGGCCCTATAATCGGTCGTAAATTCGAGAGCACAGCCACGTTGGTACGTAGCAGCTACGCGGATCGGTGCGTCATGTCAGCACTAGCATTACTCGCTGGATTGTTCGAACCAGCTCCCGAGGACATGTTCGTGCCCGGTTTGACATGGACTCCCGTTCCTGTACATTCGATACCACGGGCATTAGATAAGGTATAATACCAGATCAGATTTATAATGTTAAATAAAAAAAATTTTTTTACAGTTTAAAATTTTATATGAGATAGAGAGAGAGAGAGGGAGAAGAAATCCTATTCATTATCTTGTCTTAAAAAATCTCTTTTTGAATACTCATTATTGTTCAAGGAAGAGAAAAAGCACGTAATCTATAATCTTAAGATCACAACAAGTTTGAGTTAATTCACGGAAGGAACGGTTTTGCTGAGGTATCTAAAAATTTAGCTAGATACAGATCTAAAAATAATTGTGTTCAAAATAATTATGTAGAACGTTCAAATTGGTTGTTATAATGTAAAAACTGTTTGCAGTCTTATTTATCATGCTTGAGATTACTATACGTGATTATTTTGATGGTCCAACAAAATTATTTTCAGATTTGTATTTACTTAATTTTTTGAATACTCCAGCAAAATTATTCTTTTTGTGTTATTATAATCTGCGTGTAATAATCAGATTTTATGCATAAAACTTTATTTTACGTTGCAAAAATGCTTGAATTAAAATATAATAGTACAATATGATAAATATGTGTAAATAATTTTAATCCATCAGCCATGTCAAATTTTGCATCTGTCGTTAGCAACTTAAGTTTTTGAGCTTCAGTGCAGATTTATACAATTGTTCCAGACTGTGTAATGCTTGTGAAAGCTTCAACAACGAATTTTTACTATCAATGAAGTTGAATTATACATCTTTTATTTATTTTTTACAAATTTAAATTTATATACCAAAATTACTATCAATTATGATTTTAAAGTCTAACTTGGTCGACAGAAAATTAAACAAATAATAAATTATTTGTTAAATAATAAATTATTTGTTAAAAATATGAAAATCTATAAAGAAGCTTATTTTTCAACACAGTGTGTGTGATGTCATTGTAGCTGATTACGATGAAGGCACCATGTCCGAAGCTAGAAGAGGCTCTAAAACAAGCGTATATAGAGGAAGAAAAAAAATCGGGCGAGAAAATGGCCAAGTATTACAAGGAACTAACGAAGCACACCGGACAGAATATGAGCACGATTACCGACGTCGAGTTTCTTTACAACACCCTCGAGATCGAAGAGGAACACGATTTACAGCTTCCAGTATGGACGCAAAATTTTTACAACAACGAGATGCGCGAAATAGCTGCTCGTAGCCTCGCCATTTTCACCGAGGGCGTTATTCAAAAACGTCTTCGTGGAGGTACGACGATATTTCTGCAGCGATAAGTAATCGCTGAAAATTCACCTTTTAAGTTACATCGCAAAATTTTGTTTTTGGAAATTATATTATCGATATTTTCAGGTCCCCTGCTAAAAGAAATTTTGCAGCATATGGAAGAGAGTAAAAACAATCCCAAGTCGAAACGATCTTACTTTTATTCCGCTCATGACATAACTATCGTTAACGTGATGAGGACAATGGGATTTACGAATGAGCTGTTTAAACCCGATTACGGAGCGATGATCATATTGGAGCTACACTTCGCTAATAATGGAACCGAGCAAGAAGTAAAGGTATGGATAGTTATCGTAGTATCATTACCGTAAAGTTTTATGAATGACCCATGAATATTTTTATAATCAGAAATTGTTTCGCATATCGCAAAAACTTTAATACTCTGTAAATTCCATCTAAGTATTTTGTTACATTATTATTGAAAATTATAATAGGTATTATGTTATGTAATTACCGGAAATAGCACGTAATTCATTCAATTAATTAATGGTAACAATTAGCGATTCTACATAATTACTGAGATTCATCCGGAATTCCTAAAATAGTCTGTATTTGCATACTAATATATCATATTATTTAAATACTTCTCTTATACCTCTAACGATTGCTATTCTAGTGATTTATAAATTGTAAAATAATTATAATATATAACATGACATATATACACTAATTATATATTCGATTCTGTGTGTTATCAAAGGCATTGTATTTGAATAATACGGAAATGGACAACGTGCATCGTTTAGAAATTCCTAACTGCGCGAGTCCTTGCCAATTGCAAAACCTGAAGCAAGTGTGGCACGAAGTGATTCCAGACGATTGGGACGCAGAATGTAAAATATAAAACTACTAATGAAAGTACAATACAACAATTCATATACATATATTTCATATTTACGTTAAATAGTAAAAGCGAACGTTTCGAATACATTTCGAGCTATTCTCAGCAAAAATTTTTTAATCTCACGCTCTTGATTAGAGATACAGTCATTACTCCATTATTATTCAAATCAAAAGGGTATATAGCTCAAAGAACCAAGAGAAAGTAAAAGTACAAATTCTTTCAGAAATAAATTGTAAATAAATCACGCGCGGACTCGTTCACAATTTTGTAAACTTATTTTTAACTCACTAACATGACTGCAAATTTTATGTATGATATATGTATAATATAAATGAATTTTTATACACAAAATGCATGCTGTACTTTCATTGTCGATCTCATTGTAAATTATATTTTTTAAATAAGAGGATCTTGCTAATTTTTTTCTCTTTATTTAAATAATTTTATATAATAATTTATAATAATTGTAATTAATTATGAAATTAAATTTATTTTAATTTATTACCTTCACGTTTTCACGTGAAATTATTACTGCATGTATACAAAGCGAAATAAGAGATATAAGATACATTCAGGAAAGACGTTATTAACGTTATTTGTGTCATTCTATCCTTGTTTTATATCTAATGAACGATAAACATAGAATGACACAAATAGCGTCTCCTCGATGCACTCATAATTGCTCGATACTAATCATTTAGCATGTGTTAAATGAAATATAGATAATTTCACGATCAATATTTAAATTTAAGTATAGGATCAGTTATTTATCTTAATACTTGTAATTATGAATGTCGTAATTGTCAATATTAGCAATTAATAAAATCGCAGATTTATATACTTCTAATATTATCACAAAGTGATAGCGATGTATGAGAGGCATTGAAATAATGTATAATTAAAAAAGAAAACCTAGAAGCGTTTTATTTTTGTAATAATATGAAAATTTTATTGTACTTACTTAACGTTGATCCGCTAATAAAACAACTTCGTTATTCGAATACGTACTTCGTTTTTCACCTGCATACATATAAAGAATCCATAGAGAGATGAATCTGGTATGCGATTTCTGTAAAAATAAAATTTATATTAAATTATACAAGCAAGTGTAATTAAAAATTGTTCGTTTAATAAATTCTTATTTGTCGGTATGAATGTACAGTACGAAGAATTTAGCACAGAAGGCGCCTCTGATATCTTATTGCAAATAATCATCAAAACTGTTATCAGTAACAGAAATGGAATCATCAGTGTTTTATGCAATGCTGATAAACGATAAGGACAACGATTCAACAATATCTATATTGACGTTAGATATAAGACAGAAATTTTTAATTCAAGAAATTATAAAAGAAACTTCTCTCACTTAAGAAAATATTTTTCCAAGAAAGTTAATTTCACATCGTCTGTACTTTTCAATATAAAATTACATTTTGCATCTTCCAAAGAAAATTTTCAATTATTTTTTCTTATTAAATTATAATTATATAATCATATTATTTAATAAACCCTATTTATTTATTCTTCACTCAAGGTTGCTATTTCCAGATATTTTTTAAAATCGAATTAGCTCTTAGATTTAAATAGAAGGAGATCATATATTGTAACAAAGGTCATATACTGTAGAAAAAAATTTTTAAGAGATAAGAATATAACTTTTAAAGGCCTAAATTTTATCAAAATAAATACAGATTTATATATATGATTTATATATATATATATGGTATATGACAAAAATACGGAAGTATTATAAATAAATTATTCTCATTAAAAATAAAAGTTGATAAATTCGCTGAATAAACTTGCTGAATTTTTTAAATTATTTCAAAATTCAACGTAGCAATAATGCAACGTTGAGTTTCAAAATGATTTATAAGGACATTCGCATTCTATTCCTTAGAGAGGCTACGAATGTCTGCAGTCGAGTGCACGATGTGCACGTTACAACTCATTGTCAGTATCCCTGCAAATCAGTTGTAATTCAAGCGAAGCTTGTTAAGACGAATAAATGGACACGAAATCGTTTAACCGGGATGTGCCCGTTTTGCTTATGCAACGGCTGACACTGGTCCCATTTTGCATATCATTGCGTAATATCATGTACGATTATTGGCGTGAACTATTGTCTGTTGTACCGAATAGTGCGTACGCAATTAGCAATTAAACAGTCGCGCTCGATAGGGAGATACACCTCTGATCTCAATGTGTGTTCTACTTTCAGATAAATTGAACGAAATGCTTTGTCATCATATGATTTTAATTAATTCCGTCTGTATATTATTGTGAAAAAAGTAGAAATGATATTTTTTGTGAATAAAAGTAGAAAAAATCTTTTTTTTTTCGATACGCAAAATTCTCTTCAAGTAAGATCGCTATCAAGGAATTGTAATTTTTTTCTTAGTTACAAACATTGCCTTATATAATCTTTTTCTAAGCTACAGATATCGCCTTATTAATTTGATTACTGCAATATTTCATTTTTACGTCAATTGGAATCAAGGAAACTGCGGCCAATTCAATGCTATGCATTTAACAGGAAAGATAAGATAGAAGGCTTAGCTCGTGCTTATCATTTTTCATGACTCATTATTTAACGATTTAAGTTTTATTCGCGCGAATCTACTGCATTGCTAGCGATTCAATGTTTCGTGATTTGATCGATCATGTATGAGACGAGGTCACAGTTATCGATTGTCTCTCTTAGCATGGTCACATATTGTTAACATTACGCCTCCGTTATGTCATTCGTTACTATTACAGAATTACATAATTTATTGTTCGTAGGAGGAAATCCTAATGATTTGGAATACCTATATTTTTCCGATTTTATAGATCTTTTTTCTCATTAGCAAATGTAAAGAAAATGGTCGCGTAGGTGGCAATAGACACCTATGTTTCTTCGTTTTAATGATTTGTTATGCAATCATTCACTTTTCAATTTAAAGGAAAAATAAGAATGAATCTTTAAATAAACTGATAAAGTAAACGAATAAAGTATTATAATAGTAATTGTTCGTAGGAGGAAATCCTAATGAAATAAAATATTTTTTCTATATTTTTCCGATTCTACAGATCTCCTTTTTTCGTTAAAAAATATAAAAAATGATCGCATGGGTAGCAATTAACATTCGCTAAACGTTTCTACATTTTAATGATTTATTATATAATTATTTACATTTAAACTTAATAAAAAAAAAACTTTAATGAATTATAATTCCTTAAATAAATAGATGAAGTAAACGAATAAATTAATCAATAATTGTTCGTAGGAAGAAATCCTAGTGATCTGGGATACTCTATATATATTTCCAATATATATATATATATATATATATATATTCGCAGATCTCTTTTCATTAGCAAATATAAGGAAAACGATCGCGGATGGTAATAAATATTCGCTAAATGTTTCTTTGTGTTAATGATTTATTATGCAATTATTTATATTCACTTAATAAAAAAAATAGACAGTAAATTAATCACTCAATCATTAAAGAAATTAATAAATAACTAAAATAATAATTAAATAAAGTAAGAAATTGTTGAATTTTTAAATCGTTTAATATATTTTCGCAAAATTTTCTCGCATATGATCGCTATTCACTTTTACCATTATCGTCTTCTTTTTTTTTTAATCTTTAACAATTTCTAGATGGTTTAACGGCTACGATATAATAGGGAAAAATATGGGAGTTTTATTTATTAATGGAATAGAGCTTCGTTCGTTAATGCAGGTGAAAATGAAGATAAAGAGGATATACAGGAAGAGAGAAAGCATTATTTATTTGGTACTTTGAAAGCATCGTTTTAAGCGCAAAACGATCAATGTATTAAAAAAAACTTAATATAACATTAATATAAATTATTAATTTGTATCGTACATAATATTTTATAATTATTATATATATGTATAATATAAATTAATATATACATTTATATAAATTACATAATGTATACATGACAATTTATGTATTATAAACTATATATATATAACTATATATATAAAGCTCAATTCTTGACCTTTGAAGAATATACATATAAATTTCGACATAACCATCCATTATTCTTAGTTCTAATTCTTAATTAGGAATGACATATATCGTACCTTGACGTGTCCTCGCTTTCCTCGATATCCTTCGCGTTGATTAACAACGAAAATGATGAGAAAACTTCGCGAACCGATCACATTACGCACACTTGTTTCGTTGAATTTAGTAACTAAACCATCGACAAACATCACGCAACTTGCTTGGAACTACGAAGCGATGAAATTTGAAAAATAATCGTAACAACCGAACTCGACAACTTCGCGCCGGAACCGAGAATGCCCAACTTCGCGCGGGAACTTGCGTGCGATGAATTGCAATACCCGGAATATCGCGCAAATGCTTTATCGAGTAATTTTGTTTCGCAACGAAAATTGCAAATACAATGTAATAAAAATTGTGGAAATCTGAAAGCGGAGAATTACCGATGATTGATCGGGCTCTCACCTAAATTCCACGCGCGTCGCGTAGCATTTGTTAATATATAGAAATAAAATAAGAAAATATAGGTAATAGAGATTAAGTACGCGATATCTCTTATCTCGTGTTTTTACGTTTTCTCTCTACGTCCAGCTGTTTCTGTGCATGTTATTTCCCGTTTGTTCCCGGCACGAAGAATGATGAGGCATCTCCGATAAAGCACACGCATGCGACCGCGAATTACGAAACTATCGATCCTGTCATCGACCTGAACTTGCGCACGTAAACTTGCACTTCGCCAACTAATGCATTCGACAACTAATCTCGAATTTGTCTCGAACCTTATTCTTTCAAGATTGAAGATAGAACTTTAAATCAATACAAATTGATCTCTAATTAAGATTTTCAAGCTGAATTTTCGCATTCCAGGTCAGTATTGATACTGACCGTTCTTATTTCAAGATCATCTTAATAAGTAATATCTCTATATTAATATATGATACTCTAATATGATGAATTTATGACACCTTAAGACTGTACTTAAGATGATTTTAAATGTAAGAACTGACTTATATTATCAATACCAGTGCCAGTCCCTTCATTTTTCTCTAATTAATTTTAAACTCAGTTATATTAATTAAACTTATTCTTTCTCGCTAGATTATTCTTTTTTTCTTACTTTCACCAAACTCCAAATATATATCTATTCTATCTATTTCATTTTAAGTATACAACAAGTATACTAATAAATAAATCTCTTCTTTGTAGCAGAAGACCCTCTGCTACAAAGAACAGACCTATTAATTAATGAATTCACTCATTCATTTATTCGTATTGTTGAGAGCACAATGAAAAGAATAAGGAATAGGAACAGAGACTATATAACACACAGGCAATAAAGTTCAATCTATTAAGAACTGTGTATCATACAATACACAGCAATTTCTGATGAATGTGTGTGTGTGTTTTACTCCTTGTTCTTATTTTTTTATTCCTTTCATTTAAACCCTAAAACCTTGTGCACAATAAAGAAAATATTGTAGGAGTAAATTTTTTTTATATAGATAAAAAACAAATTTTTTAAGTAAAAAAAATAAATAATGGATAAATATTTAAATAAATATTTAAAAAATAAAATTGGTGATAGAGATAAAATGTAACGCATAATAAACACAAACATGATATAAGACACGTACATACATGTTATATGTCATATTTTATTTACATCTATTGTAACTTATATTCAATTTCTAATATTTCTAATTTCGTTATTTCTATATAATACTTAATATTTATTATTTATTTATTAATACTTATTCTTATTCTTAATATTTCTACCATTGTGCAGTGTCTAAAATTATTCATAACATCGCGCACAAGCTAACAGTACATATACACACCAATGTTATAGTTTCCTATTCAGCACTAATAATATAAACTGTTATGTATGTACAACATGTGTTATGTTACAGTTATTATTGTTAAATAGGAAATTATAACGTTAATGTAATGTACTGTTATAGTTTGTGTTTAACGGGAAATAATTCAAGTATCTTTATAAAAAGAACCAATATAACATAATATTGATTTCTATTCAATAAACTCGGTGTCATGTTAATTAATTAATTAATTCATTTTACTGAATTTATTCCTAATTTAAATAAGTTCATTTAATTTTCACATAACATTATATACGGAAACGATTCATCATAATGTGTGAACTCGGGGTATGTCCTATTAGTCAGCAACCCTCCTCCCTCCCACCCTCCTCTCGTATCTGGGCTTTGGCAATTGTCGGCACTGAGCCCAATGCTGAATTAAATGCCGTACAGTGGTTGGTGATTGCTGTCGACAACCTGTCAACAGAGTCGTGCCGTCGTTCTGAGCCATCGGTCGTACGCCGCAGTGCGCCGACTATCTTCAAGAGCGTGTATCATATCAGTCCCGATTTATCGGGCGCGGCTCCGCCTCGCGATCGCTGGTTTCCCCGAGCTGCTCGCGCAGCGCGACGCATCTTCCATCAATTCCACTGTTGTTTGCGTCACCGCTGACGATTGTGACTCGTGAGCATCGTGGCAGCAATTTGTGGCGACAACCACCACTACCGACGTCGCTGCCACCACCACCATCACTACCCCACCATCACCACTACATTCGTTCCGGAAGTCCGTATTGCTCGTGCTCTTCCGCGATCGGTTTGGGTCGCGTCTACGTCGGCAGCGGACCCCCTTGTCGGATCGTCTTGGCCGAGCTCTGCCTTCCACCGCACTCTCCTGTTAGTCCGCGGCCCGCGCTCGCCCTCGCGTCCGTCGCGCTCTGTCAAGCGCAGCTGTTCATCCTTGACCGACGGATACGAGCAAAGGTTGGTGCTCTCGACAATACTCTTCGAGTTCCCCTTTCTCTTTCTGTCTTCCTACCTAAACTCTGTCCACGTGTTCCTTTTAACACTTTTTGTATTTTTGCACTTAACTCTCCGTTACACATTTCAACTATATTTGAAATCTCAACTATTCCTCGAAAGGAAGGAGGAGGTGCTGGATAGGATATCAGAAAAGAAGGTGGTACCGATAAATTGCTTTCTAGAACGAGGCATGACCGAGTTTTCAGTGGGCAAGTTCCGCGCGATATCCTTTCAATCTATCTTCAGTCTACCTTGAAAGATATGTCTTGAAGGCACAAGCGTAAAATTTGGAGGCGGAGCAGTCTGATATAATTGATGTGATAACCTTAACCTTTGTAGGCCGTCTTGCACTAGCCTGGAACGGCTGGTCTAGAATTGTAGTCTGACAATGAGTCACAATCCGTACTTACAGTAACTCAAACATAGGAAATTAACAGAACACGGTGTTACTTAACGCTAACATGACGATTCTTTGAAATTCAGGCTTAACACAAATGTACACGATGACAAGTTCATTAGCAAGAATATAGAACTCAATTTGTTGCAGATTGTCAACATGTTTAGCTGGCTGAATCGCGAGGAGAACAACAAGCAAGACCTCTTCGAAAATGTCACCGAAGGCCTTAAGAGGATATACAAATCCAAATTATTGCCACTGGAACAGTATTATCAGTTCCACGACTTTCATTCACCACAGCTGGATGATCCAGACTTTGATGCAAAACCCATGATTCTTCTAGTTGGGCAATATTCCACTGGCAAAACCACATTTATCAAGTATCTGTTGGAAAGAGAGTTCCCTGGTATCAGAATCGGACCAGAGCCTACTACGGATCGATTTATCGCTGTCATGTACGATGAGAAGGAAGGAGTCATTCCTGGAAATGCCTTGGTTGTAGATCCAAACAAACAGTTTAGACCACTTTCAAAATTCGGCAATGCATTCTTGAACAGATTTCAATGTTCGACTGTAGCGTCTCCTGTTTTGAAAGGCATATCTATAGTAGATACACCTGGTATATTATCTGGTGAAAAACAAAGAGTAAGTATTGTTTTTGTAGCGCTGCTTTACATACATATTTATTTACATATATATATTTTTGATATGATAAATATATATCCTAAATTTTCTTCAGGTTGACAGAGGCTATGACTTTACTGGTGTTTTAGAATGGTTTGCTGAACGTGTAGATAGGATTATCTTGTTGTTTGACGCTCATAAGCTCGATATCTCGGATGAATTTCGTAGATCTATTGAGGCCTTACGTGGGCATGATGATAAAATTAGAATTGTTCTTAATAAAGCTGACATGATAGATCATCAACAGCTTATGAGAGTATATGGTGCTCTAATGTGGTCGTTAGGAAAGGTATTACAAACACCAGAAGTAGCTAGAGTTTATATTGGCTCGTTTTGGGATCAGCCATTAAGATATGACGTTAATAGAAGGTAAGTGCTTGTGTATCTTCTAGTTTATTTTTATTATAGAATTATTTTTATATTTTGTATTTGAAAGTCTTGTAAAAAATCTCCTTTTAGATTATTTGAAGATGAAGAACAAGATTTATTCAGAGATATGCAATCGCTTCCAAAAAATGCTGCATTAAGAAAACTTAACGACTTAATTAAACGAGCGCGCTTAGCGAAGGTATATAAAATAAAGAATTAATTTTTTTCTACAGAAAAAGTATCTTTGTTTAAAATCTTAAACTAGATATATACATATATTAAGATTCATGTTTCTTGCATCAATTTATAGGTACACGCGTACATAATAAGCGCTTTACGGAAAGATATGCCGAGTATGTTTGGTAAAGATACTAAGAAAAAAGAACTGATAAAAAATTTGGGCCAGATTTACGATCAAATTCAAAGGGAGCAACAGATTTCACCTGGTGATTTTCCGGATCTAAAGAAGATGCAAGAGAGCTTAGCACATCATGATTTTAATAAATTTAATCCTATAAAACTTAAATTATTAGAAGTAGTAGATAAAATGCTCGCTGAAGATATCGCGAAGCTTATGGCTATGATACCGCATGAAGAAGTCACTACTGTTTCGGAACCACTTATTAAAGGTATTTATCACCTTTGTTTACATTTAAATTTTAGTAAATCCTGAATCAAAATATGGATAAATACACACTCTCTCTCTTTCTCTCTCTCTCTCTTTCTTTCTCGTTCACTTACTCAAAAAATTCTTTAAATCTTCCATAAATTTTTGCTAAAAGTTCAATTGATTACAAAATTAATACCAGAAAATATATTCAATATAATATTTATATATTCTAAACTTATAGAAAAAATTGTATATGTATATTTTAATTTTAGGAGGAGCGTTTGAAGGTGTAGAAGATCAAGTTAGTCCATTTGGATATAAAAGAGGAGAAGGAATTGATGCGGGTGCAGGTGAACCAGAATGGATTGTCAACAAAGAAAGATATAAATACGATAGTATTTTTGAATCACTTGCACCACAAGATGGAAAAATTACGGGAGCAGGTATGGTTGATGAATTTATAGAGATAGTTGTTTTTACTTATATAGCTTTGCTTGTACATTTTTGCTATTATAATCGGAAGACTATATAAATACTTTTGTGTGTGCGTGCGCGCATGTGTGTATAAATATGCAATATTTGTATGAGTGTGACAATTTAAGAAAAAATATTCTAATTATGTATAACTTTATATTACTAGCGGCCAAATCAGAAATGGTCAAGTCCAAATTGCCAAACAGCGTGCTCGGAAAGATTTGGAAGCTTTCAGACATTAATAAAGATGGATTCTTAGACTCTGACGAATTTGCCTTAGCCATGCATCTAATTAATATAAAGCTTGAAGGATACGATCTACCGGCTGAGCTACCAGAACATTTAATACCACCATCAAAACGTGATACATAATATACGATTTTTGTATTATAATTTATCGTGGTTCAGAAATGGTTAACACATATTTAGAACTACAAAACGGTGGATATTAACACGACTTATTAATCGTACGTTAATGCCAGCAATTTACAGGTTCGAGAATTATAAAATTATACTTTTACAATCAGCTGTATCATATTATGTGTATATTATATTACATTAATAATGTATTAACGCCAGAGAATATATATGTATATTTGCAATCTTTTAAAAGTTAGTGCAATATTGACCAGCAATTAACATTTATAAAGATATATGAGTGTCTTTCAAATAATATTTTTTTGAAATGTATAAAGATTACACATATACAAAACTATACACATAGTATGCGATACTTATACTGACACAAAATAGTATATAAATAATTTCAGAACATTTATTTCTTTTTAAGATATCAAATTATATTGACACAAAAATCTTGATCGTAGAATTATATTTATACTTTATAACTTCGAAATTCTTTTAATTGTATATGTGTGTCCTGAATTACGAAATGTCGCTGATTAATGAATAACAGATAATTCATTGATATATTAAGAAAAATCAATACATTTTTTTAAAAGATATACACATTGTTACAGGATATATTTAAGGAGTACATTCGAACTTTAGAAACATGTTTTAAAGACACAATAAGTTTATATGACATTAAAATTTCTGATAAAATTTCTGATAAAATACTTTTCCAAAAAAAAACTGGAAACAAAACAGTATAAATCATCAACATTAATAAATTTATTTTCTAACATTAAAGTTAATGGACTATTTTTCCAAAATTGAACCAAGTTTTTTAAAAATATTCTATACAAAAAGAAACAGTAAATTGAAGATAGATAATATGGAAATATAGAAAAAAAATAAGACTGGATTAAAAAAATATAGATTTTGCATATTCTGAAAAAAAGTATAAATCTAATAATTTATTTTTATTACGAATAAATGTTAAATAAATTTATTTTATTTTGTATATTAGTTAAAGTTTTATCTTTAACATCGATAGTAATAAAACTTAATCAACTTAACCAAAGTATTCTGTTTCGAAGTTTTAACAAAAGCACAATTTCTTTCGCTATATTATTTGTTATTAGATAGAAATATACAATGTATGTTATTTTAAGTTAAAATTTTTGATTTATTTAAATGAATTTAATGCAACTCTATGTTTATTGTATATTCACTACATTATGGAATTTTGTCAGATTTGTTTGTAATTGTTACGTTTCGTCTCTTTTACGACATCGATCAGAGATATAATGTTACAAATACATCACACACATGATATAAACAAGCTAACAAAAATTTACATATTTGATAAACGTTTATATTTTTTGATAATTTTATTTTTAAAACTTAATATTAAAAAGCTTTTTTTCTATTTTAAAGAAATTGATATTAGCAAAATTATGTATTTATTATCTTTTAATTATATATGCCGTAAAAACAGCTAATTACTTATTATATTCTCAATTGCATTTTTCTATTAGCACTGCCTTCGCATGCCGCGAGTTTATGTGATACCAGAAAGTACATTTGTATTTTTTATATTCTATTCGAAAGAATATTTATCTTAAATTTACATTAAATGATAATATAAGATAAAATTAATCAAAGATTGTTTTTCGTAAAAATAATATATAAAATGTAACTTAAGTTTACCTGTCAACAGTTTCGAAATGCATATACATATGTTATGCATGGAAATGTTGCATTGCTTTTCTTTAATTAACACATTCCAACTTTAAATAGATTCATTTAATCACTGTTAAAAAAATGAATTATATCTTCTACTTGATCACATATTAGTACAATTAATAAACAAGAAGAAAGGAGAACTTACAAAAAAAAGAAGCACATTTAAACAACTTTGATATTCGATATTCTATTCATTTATATATTTATATATCTTGAAACTACATAGTTTTAAATATCTACATGTGTAAAATGTAAAATATTTTATATATAAAATATTTGGATATATTGCATTTAAACACAGCACGCACGGAATCATAATGATCCAGCGTTTTTTATAGCGTATTTATCTCTGTACTAATTCTTATATTTGTGTAACAATTATATTTATGGATACTATTTTTAGAAAGAATTCATTAGATTTCATCGAATTAAATGTTAATGCGTTTGTAAAAAGAGAAAACCGTAAAAACTTATTTTTTAATAACTTCTTAAAAATATGTTAGAATTATTAAAAAATAAGAACTTTAGTTTATCTCATGTTAATAAATAAAGTTCATGATATCAATGTTTCTTACTGTACAAACAGAACCTTCGGAAAGTTTCTTATTATAATTAAACTTTTAATTTAATGCTTGAAATTTAGTTTAGAAGAATTAATTTTCTTCTTTGTTCCTTTGGAAAGTAATGAGACATGTCAAGATAAACGGCAAGCACCAGTTGTCAAGCAATATATTAATTACAGATAAGTACGTTATTAAAATTTGTTAACGACTTTTATTTTTTCTCTTGTATTGAAATAAATTATAGTTTTTCCTATATTATCACACTTGCATATGTAATAATAGATTTTTGCTGAATATATATTATACATAATTATATATTCTGTGAAATAAATGCAATATTTCAATCTGCATTTTCAATGAAAATGGATTTTGTAAAGGTAGGATAATATAACAGATAATTAAATAACTAATAATTAAGTCTACTTAATTATTAACTCACGTACTGAAAAAACAAATCATATATTTTCTCAATTTATATCAAAGTCCGTATAATGTCTGTGTAATGACTGGTAATAACATATGAAAAAATAAATTTATTCGTACATTGCGAAGAAAGAATGCATGTATGACTACAATGATAAAATCATACATTATAACAAAAGAAGTCACATATGACTGTAATGATAGTCTTAAATTCAATTTAGACACTATAGCTAGTTACGTTTTGTTCAAGAATTAACAATTTTTTTAATTTCATCCCTGATTCTCTTAGTCATTCTTACAACAATTTCGACGCTATTCTGCTTATTTTGTCTTTGAAACTTATTTTTCAATAACTTCTTAAACATAGCAGAAATATTTTTAAAAAACTAAGATTTTCGACTTACACCTCATGATAATAAATAAAGTTCATGATTCTTACAGTAAAAACAAAACCTCTGATAAATATTAAAAAAAAGTTTCGTTGTGATTAAACTTTGATGCTTATTTGAAATTTCAAATTGTTTTATTTATATAAATTTTATTTAATTATATATGTATATAATATTAATTATATATACATTATATGTATAATATGTACAAAATGTATAAAAGTATCACAATAAGATTAAAAATATATCTAATCTCTGATTTTTTCTTTGTTTCCTTTGGAAGCATGGAACATGTCAGAATAAACCATGAGCACCAGTTGTGGTAGTCAAATAACATATTAATTACAAATAAGTACATTATTAAAATTTGTCAATAACTTCTATTCCCTCGTTGCAACAGTTCAACAAATTAAATTATAATGCCAGATGCAAGAAATTATATAAATTTTACCTTATGGGGTCTAGGAGAGAGGATTTGCAAAAATAACTTCGACAAGAGATGGATATTATTCAAGTATCTAGTTCAGAGTGTTATGACTTATGGAGCCAAGATATGGGGGTGGATGGAAAGAGAAAGCTTAGAAAAGGTAATGATGAATTATGTGAGATGGATCTTCAGATGTACACCGAGATATATTATTATTTTCTATACACCAAAATATATTATTACCCTGATAGCAAAATATTGCCAATTTGCACGCAAATTGGCAGCAAACTCGATCAGATTTTGAAATTACAAAACCGTAACCATCTGCGTCCGCATTTGACTATGGATTTGGCGACAACATTTGCTGACATGTTTTGCAGCAGATTGGTGGCAAAAATCAAGCAAAGTCTGCTGACATGACAAAACATGTTAGCAGACGTTGTCAGCAGTTTGCTGACAGTATCTGATGATGCAGACTCTGTCTATAATTTGTTGCCAATCTGCAATCAAAAATTGTTAGCTCCATTGTGCTCCAAATCTGTTTCCGCAGACTTTACTATTAGGATATGAGGGAACTAACGATGACAAAATTAAGAGTAGGTTGGGCAATAAGAACCAAGAGATATGAGGAACGGATAAAGAAGGGATGAGCAGGCAAAATAGTTTTAACTTGTTGGGAAGAAAAAATATCTCAAGGGTGGAGAGATACGTACGGGAAAGGAAGGGAAAGCTTTTACAATAGGAATGAATAGGGAATTGAAGCGAGTGAGGTAAATGGAAGAGAGGGGTATAATATAGTAAGCGAATTAATAGAAAGAGAGGCATTTTTTCAAAGACAATGGGAGGATGCCAGAATCAGAGAAGTGAGATATAATAAAAAATATAAGAAGACAGTGGCTGAGGGGGGGGGGGGAGAGAGAGAGAGAGAGAGAGAGAGAAGGGACGAGATTAGGGCATTGATGAAGCTTAGATGTGGGAATTTGGAAGAGGCAAATAAATTTTTAAAGAAGGAGGAAGAGGATAGAGTGTGTTCTGCGGGGATGACTTGGAACATTATATGAAAGATTGTGAAAAGGTAAGAGTTTAGTTTTAAAAGTTAGGGAAGAATACAGAGGAGATTATAAGGAAACTTAGAGATGAAAAGCAAAAGGGGAAATTTTATGGAAGTTGTGGAAAGAAAAGGAAAGTACTCATAAGAGCAAAGAGGGAAAGATCAAAGATAATAGTAGAGATAATGCGAGAGAGTTAGTAATAGAATAGGATTAGGATAGCAAAGAGCAGTTGTTTGTTAAAAAAAAAAGGCTAATGGTTTATTTAGAGGAAATAAGACTGTGAAAATTGTACAAAAATGTTCAAAAATATAGAACAGGATAAGTGGTCAATTATTTGTTATTATATATTATAAATGTTACTAGTCATAAACTAAGTTTAAGATAGAAAAGGTATGTCATGAATGGATTAAGATTTATTGTAAATCAAGTCCCCTTCTTGGCTATTTTTGTAAAACTAAAATGGAATAAAATTCTTCTATAAACTTTACCTTTCTTGTACTGAAATAAATTAGTTTTTCTTATGTCATCACTTGCATATTTGATAAT